GAGTAGGGAATATAATCCCTGCAAAATACATCCCCATTTGCCCTACGGACCCCTTAGCCCTAGATAATATTTTCCCCTACTCCCTACTAACCCCCAGTAAGTTAGCTGAGGCAGGTCCATACTCGCCCAAGCCGCCCCTTGGCTGCACTTGGATACTGTAGGAGCCTACATAGTTGGAACTTTGCTTTGGGGTACAGTATCCTGTGGTTCTATAAGGAGTGCTAGGAAAAAAATATTGTGGTTATTTTGGCTTCGGCATTAGACTCTACCAAAAAGCTCCATTAAATGCCCTTATTTGTTATGTGAGAAGCTGCTAGAAGCCTAAAACCCTTCACCTTGCAGCCTTTGGCCGTCACCAGAAGACCGGCACATTGCGGACTTAACTTTCACTTGTAGTGGACTGATGATTCTATTCTTGTCCGCTTGATTGCGGAGGTTATGTAGGGGTAGGGGCCTGTCTCGATAAGATGGGGGTTTTGGGGTGTGCAATGTTATACAGTTTCATGAACGAGGCTGATAAGGGGATGGTATGGCGAATTATTCATGAATAGATTGCGCCCTGAGTTCAGGATCTTTAAAGAGGAACCTTGTTGAATTCAGGGTGCGTATATATATATATATATACATGCGCTGGTATGCGCAGGTTGCATGGAGGTCATAGTGCAGAAGCCATTTAGGGATGCGACCTGTCTGGCTAAACCCCAGGAGCCTTGGCTGGATGGACCACATTTTCACTTTAAACCTGAACCCTAAACCCTAACCCTAATCCTCAACCCTAAACCCTGTATATTCCCTAGTTTCCATTTCATTTTCCATTTTCTTTTCCATTTGATTCTCCGGTATAGTTGTTTCCATTTTTATTTTCCACTAACCCAATGTAATCCCAATATTTGTATCCTAAGGGACCATCATTTTGACAACCCTCAACCCTAAACCCTAAACCCCTAAACACTAAACCCCCTGAAGCTGAGCCCTATTACATAGCCCCAAAGCCTCAAGTTTCGAGGCCTCCATGGCCTGCCTCCTGAATCTCGACGAGTGGCCTCGTGACACAGCTGAAGGGCAGCAGCTCGGAGACCAAAGTGGGGCTTCCACGAAAGATCTCAAATTAGGGGGACATTTTGGGGTTATATAGGGATAATGGAAAAGAACATGGAAACTACTATAGTATATGGGGTTTAGGGTTTAGGGTAAGATGGTGAGCAGATATGCAAAGTTTTGTTTGAGAAGTAGCTTGTTCTGATTTGATTGATGGGGCATGGGGTTTGGGATTGACACGTTCCGGGGGTTTTGGTATGAGGCTGTGATGCTGAGGTATGAAGTGGCAGGTGTGAAGGTGTAAGGCTGCAGTTTCGGCGCTTGTAATTGGGTCTGAAGAAGCCCTTGGTCTCCCAGTTACCTGCGTAATGGGAACTGGGTTCTATATATACTTACTCGAAAGTTACATAGCCCAGTAACATTACTATTTAGGTAACTGGGAGCCGGATAGGGAAGGATATCCGGCTTTTTTATAGACAGTGACGGACGGGCTGTTGTCGGGGGATGCCGGATTGCTCAGCGTAGCTAGAGAAGCCATGACTTTATGTTGCCACAAACTTTCCAAATCAAGATGGAGGCCCCCAAACCCTAAACCCTAACCATAGACAGCATCTCGAAACACTTGACCCCCTTTGCCAGCGGCCTCATAGCCCCAAGCTTACAGGTTGTGTGTGCTGGACGGATATGGTAGCCCTGACTGGCTGGCTGTTGGCAGGAAATGAAGGAGTGGAAAGGAAAGTGCCAATTATCAAAGTAGGAGAGATTATACAGCCAACCCAAGGCATGTTCTGCTTCCCCTGAACAGGTTTCAGAGGTCCTCTAGCTACTGAACAAACGTGGCACACCCTCAAAAGCTTAAGCCTGGGGCACGGCCTTTGTGCCTTCAAAACGAAATTGCCTGCACATCATGTCCTTCAACAACTCCCCATGCCATACCCTAACTGACTCTGACGTCCACTTCGAAAATCAAGCAGCGAAAAGGACTTGCCTATTTGTACAGCCAATCCTCAAACCTGCATACCCAATGTTCTTATCAGCCCCAGAGACTAGATCACTGAAACAGCTCTAACCTAGCAGTCAACTTCATTGGACTTCAGTTCCGTAACCCTTACATGGCAGTCCCCAGTCCCTAAAGCCTATGAAGCTGAATTGCGCCCAAACCCTAACCCCGAAACACCTAAACCCCAAAAGCCGCGGCTCTGCACTCCAATCATGAACGTCAAGCCCCAAACCCCAAACACCCAGTCCCCAAATCCCAAACCTAAATCCAAAGTCTTTGCCCAACCTTCAAAGATCTAACTCTAGGCCCCAAGCCCTAATCCACAGACTCAACACTGAGCCCTAAAATCCCCCCAAAGCCATACAACCTCACATCCCAAAGTCCCTGCCAAGTCCTCAAATCCCAACCCCCTAAACCCCCAAATGTTGGTGCTTTCAGGCGCGCCTGGCTGCGCCACGTCCAGCTCCTTTCTGCCGCGGCCGCAGCGAAACCTGGAGCTCGAGATCGCCTCGCAGGCAGTTTCGTGTCACATAGGGGCCTAAATAAAAACCAATATTATGGTTCCATATCCCTTAGGGTTTAGGGCTTAGGGATAATTACCAATATTATGGTTCCATATTCCTTTGGGTTTAGGGCTTAGGGCTTAGGGATAATTACCAATGTTATGGTTCCATAGTCCTTATATAATTGTGGTCTATGGTACCTCAAATGGACCTCAAAATGATATTGGTAATTATTCGGATTAAGGCCCTGTAGTATGGGAGAGGTGGCCCTACCCCCCCCTTACATTACCCCTTCTAGGTTCTCTTGTCATCACAGCCATTTGGGGGTAGTAAAGTTTAATGGAGGATACTTAAGGCGGAACCTCGGGGAACCGTAGTTTTATTTCAGGGGTTTAGAGTTCGGCGTTAGAGGGTTTCGGGTATTTCGCTCTAACTACACAGGAGAATCAAACAGGTCAGGCTCGCAAGTTTCTGGAGCGAGTGATCGTACCATATTCAAATCGGCAGTTAAGGATCACCAAACGGAAAAAAGCCAGAAAACTAAGTCTAGAACTTAAATGGCCACCTGTTTTTTCGCATGTTGTTAAACATTATGTTCCATTTCTTTTCGGGTTTTGGTACAATAAAGTAAAAAGTACGAACTAATGATTTCCAACCATGATGCAGGGGTCATGTCTTGAGAGTTCCTTGAGAGTTCCCTATAAGTGAGATTGAGGCATTTGGGATTGTGTATTTAAGGGGGCTTGTACATTTTGGAACATATTTGGAAACAAAAATGCAGGTATGTATCCAATTGAACGGGATTTGTGTGCAGTTCCCAAGAACTTGCCACCATAGCAGGCCCGCGAAGCAATTTCCACGATGTTGAAGTCGGACAATGAGATGATAGCAGAGTGTGATGAGCCTGTATGGCTTTGGGCAGAATCTGTTCCGCAGACCTGCGATTGGGGAGGATTTCAATCACTGAATCGATGAGGGCGCAAGCTGTGCCTCAACATCACATCGGTCTGATTGATCTTTGGTCTCGAACCGTCTCTCATCCCATCATTACCCTTTCAGACCGAAAGAAAACGACCCTCAATGCCCCTAAACCGTACATACATCAGCCCGTAAACCTGAAACCTAAATGCCCCTAAGCCCTACCCTACTCCCTTAGGTAAATGTTTCAATTTCATTCTTACTTGTCCATTTGGTTCTCCATTGTTCTACCCACTAAACGTGTAAACCATGCACACCCGGGGCCCTAGACATTAAACGTCCGACATTGAACCCTACTTGGGTCATGTAGGCCCCTACACTGCTTGTGTTTTTGGGATACTTAAATTGGATGCCTGGTATCTTCTACATACAAAAGTAGGCATCCTAAACTGGATTGCTGTTCAGGCATTTAAACTAAGTTGCTAGAATAAAGAAGTCCTATTAATGCTACTTACTATATACACATAGATATAGTAACTTGGAATAAAGTTCCTTGACAAGGTCGCAAAAGAGATCCAGATGTACCATAGTCTAAAGTCCTCAAAAGGGGTTAGGGGATTAAATAGGGCTACTATAGGGGGTTATTAAGGGGGATACTAGGAGTATAGACTATGGTTCAGATAGGCCCTAAATCCAGCACCCTTACGAGGAGCGGCCGAGCCTGGCTTTGCTCCCTCCACCTCAGCGGTGGTAGGTCTCCTTCGTAGTTTCGCAACAGCGCGCCCCGAATGATTTTGAGCGGCCTGGGGGCCTTAGGTTTAGGGTTTTTGTGTGTTTAAGAATTGGTGGTTTGCGGCTGTAGGTGAGAGGGCTTAGTGATGGCATAGGGTAAAGGATCTTATCTCTGAGGTGTAGAGCTTTATAGGGTTGTAGGTTAATGAGGATTTATTTCAGGCTTCGAATTCACTTCTTGCAACAAGATTTCATACCTGCAGCCCCAGTCCAACAAGAGTTCTACCGTACGCCTCATGCGCAACACCCCGACGTATACTACTTGGGATAATATTTATACTATGGTTATATGGAGCCCTTAATCTGAGTCCTATTACAGACTGTTAGTGGTGGGGGCAGGAGCCAATATACCACGTGAGTATGCCAGCATGGAGCTCATCCGCGCACCTTTGCAGGCACAGTTCTCTTTCTAGGGCAAGTTTTCAAGGTTCCAGGTCGCTTTGTTCCACCCCAGGTCAGAACCCCAATCCTTCACCCAAAGCCCACTGCTTCATGAACCCTACGCCCAAAATACTAAACCCTAAATAGCAGTTTCCATTCTCTTGTCCATGAATGCTGTATACCTTAAGCCCTAAATAGTAGTTTCCATTTGTTCTTTTATTAACACAAAAAAACCCAACATTACAATGGTTTCCATTTTCTTTTCCATTATCCCTATATAACCCCAAAATATACCCTAAACCCCAAACCCTAAACCCTATTATGTAAGGAACTTGGACCTGGCCTTCTCCAGCCCAGTGCTGGATGACATGCTGGCTGCAGCAGCGGATTCAGCTCAGCAACTGCGCCTGGGCTTGTGGCCTCATAAGGTTTAGGGTTTAGGGTTTAGGGTTAGCGTTTAGGTTTCAGGGTTTAGGGTTAGGGAGTTTAGGGTTTAGGGCTGGGGTTGGGGTCACCGAATGGAGCATTGTCACAAGAGAGGGGTGCCTTTGAGGACCCCGTAGGTATATGGACTGCAAGCTGGTTAGGGGGTCCTACAAGGCCTTACTGGCTTCTTCTGAGAATCCTCCGTACTATTAGAATGAAATGTTTGGGGCTGGAGGGCTTAGAGATTTTTGCCCGGCGTTAGGATGAAGAAGGAAGAGTCAAGTGAGATTTGGGGTTCATGGGATTTAGGGTTTGGAACTCGGGGTTCAGGGTTCGGATTTCTAAACCCTACATAACCCTACTATAGAAGTTTCCATTTTCTTTTCCATTATCCCCATACAACCCCAATATATACCCTAAACCCTAAGTGTTGGGGACTGGGGGGTTAGGAATCCTGCTCTCGCATTTTCCGGATTTCACGCAGGGGGGGCTTCAGTCTTCATTCTCCACACTCCATGCCTGAAGCTCAACCAACAAACTCTGAAGCCGCAAGCCAGTACACTAATCAAGAATTCAGTAGCTTCCTCCTTAGTAGCCCCTATAGTAGGAACCTTAAATTAGGAACCTTATGTAACCCTTGTAAAAGAATTTAGTGCAGAGCAAGGCCTCCAGTTGCTATCCCACCCGTGTTGGTTGGAGTCTATACTAAGGCGGGCATGGCAGAAAGCGCTTCTGCTGCTTGCCTCTGCATTTCAGACCTCTTATCAGTAGGGCTTTCTTTTTGACGGACAGTCTGGGTAGTTGACGGTTCAGAATGATAGTGAAGGCGCCTGGATGAGAACGCGGATTGGGGATGCACATTCTATCAGCTCTGCATAAGAATTTGGGCGGGCAGAGCTTCTTGCGTGTTGTTCAGGCACTGATGTTGGGTTGAATGCTTTATCAACACGCTGAAGGCCCTCAACCACCATCGCCTCAAATGGCAAAACGTGAGTTTTCAGCTATTTGCGTCATGCTTGGAAGTTGTTTATCGCCAGGCCCGTTGGGGTCCATTCGCCGACCACCCTTTTGAACTTTTCTGGCTTCAATACTAGGAGCGGCGACTGACAACGTAATTCCTATAAATCCCTATGTAATCCCACTTTCCATTTCCTTAGCCATGTTCATGTTCATCTGATTCTCCATTATCTGGATAACCTTCAGTCTGTAAACCGGGGACCAAGGTTGACCGCCATTCGCACGCCCCTACCTATGCAACTCTTTTGGTATCCAAATTGGAGTTTTCCAGACATCAAATAATAGTCCTCATTTTAGGCACCTTCTAAGAAGGTTCTCTTGGTTTTGGAACCCCTGGATGTATTGTCCCCCTTTAGTAGATAGAATATGGGATATATGGGCTTCTTGTTATAATATACCCAAAGCCATGCTCTATCTACTTAAGGGGGACTATAGTAAACTTCATAGAGGTTCACAAGGTTGCTGTCGCCATAGAAATCCACTGGGTCCCCGTCCTGAACCCTAAGGGTCCAAGGAGCCAAATAATAGAGCTTCAGGGCCCAAACACTACATGTTTGGGCCTAACAACCCTATTATTTGGGTCTTTGGGCCCTTACGGGAACATAGCCCCAAGCTCCTCCACATTCTGAACCTGATCCATTACAACGACTCCTCTAGACCCCGGAACCAAAAAACGTGTTTTTCTCAGTTCTTCCACTTCCTCCCTGCCACCGGCCCCTTCAACAAACGAACTTCACAACAAGGGGTGGGCCCTGTTCAGTGCTCATTCAAAGGGGGCTATGTCAGTCTCCATGTTATTTTGGGAAAGGATATATACACACCCACCAGAGGCCCTATAAACCTCACAACCCAAAGCCTACACCCTAAAGCCTAAATCCTACCACACCCTATAGAAGCGCGAACACCCTGAACCCTCAAAGCTAAAGCCAAAGCTCCGAACCCCATCCGAATCCCCCTCTTATGATTACCACGCCCCCGTCAAAAAGCAAAACAGAATCCACCCCTAAACTCTAACTCCAAACACCGAAACCCTAACTCCAAACCCCTAAGCCCTAAACCCTAACTCCAAGCCCCTAAAACCCTAAACTGCGTATGAGCTCAAAGGCTACCTGCCTTGGCAGCCTCCAGCATCGTGCCGCCAGCGCTGGCGGATCTCCAAAGTTGCTGCCTGGAGCTGCCACAGGACTGGTTTAGGGTTTAGGTTTTATGGATGAGGGTTTAGGGTTTAGGGCATATAATATCTACACCAATAATGGAGAATCAAATGGAAAAGAAATGGACCATTAAATGAAAACTGCTCTACATTGTGGTTATGCAAGGGTTCAGGGCTTGTGTTTTCTATAGGGATATTGGAAAAGAAAATGGAAACTACTATAATGGGGTTATATAGGGTTTTGCGTCAAGGGTTTGAGTCTAAAATTTAGGGTTGGGGGTTTAAGGTAACGGGTTCACAGATGCTGGGTTTAAGGTTCAGGGTTCAGGGCTTTACGATGCAGGTTTAGGGTTGGAGGCTTCTAGGCTTGCGCGGGTTTTTGCCTATACCAGCTCTTAACCCGATAGTATAATGTGGACCCCCCTCACCCAGAAATCGTGGCTATCCGGGATAATAAGGATTATATTAGGGTCCTATTAAAAAATACAGAGTAGGGGGTCCTCCTAACTGATAGTATGATATACCCCCAAACTCTTCGCAAAGTATGCCTTGACAAAATCAGCGCCTCTCAGACTTACATGCCTGGAATCGGCAGCGTCCTTTGATGCCGCCAGCGTGAAATCCGACGTTTGAGAAATCCTAAGCCGCAAACCATAAGATGGAGACTCAAGAGCCCAACTCTAGCGTTTGAAGCAAGCCTTTAACCCCAAAGCGTGAGCTCAAAGTCCTGAACCCTTCCATGACCTTAAAAGAAAGCCCTGGCTCGAGAAGGACGGTGGCCTTTCAGAAGCTTCAGAGTTTCTTGGATCTTGAGCCCTTAGTGTTTGGGGTTTAGCGGGTGGGGTTCTGGGTCGAGGGTTCAGAGGCTAGGGTTGGCTTTTTGGCGGGTTTCAAGTTTAGGGTTCAGGGGTTATAAGGATTGGGTTCCGCAGGGTAGGTTAGGGTTCTTCCTCTAGATTTGAACTCTTGTCAGTGCTGGTGCACCATGGACATCAAACATGGGCAGTTCAGAATGGCCCCTCCCCAGTACTGATCTGACCAAAACAACCTGCTGTGTGTTTACATACATTCGCGATCAGGGATGCCCACTGCTAGAGGGGCTGAGGATTGATGCACGGCTCATGTTGTGCGCCTTGGTGACGACTGTACGGCATGCAATCCTACAAAAATTCCTTAACACCACACCCATAAAGCCAAAAAACGTCACAAGTCTAAACTTAAGCGCCTGGACACCAAGCTTGTCCTGGCTCCACACCCCTAGCAGCCCAAGCGTATCCCCCTTCCACAAGCCCAGAATTTCTCACCAACATAGCATTGAAGGGTCAGGCTTTGCTGTCTAGGCCTGGGCTCTGAGGTTCAATTTCCCCACAATCCTAATAATTATTAGGATCCCTACTATAATCCCTATTAAGGGGAGGGGGCTTATTAATCAGGGGTCTACATTATTGCAATGATTGCCATCATTTCTAGGTCTTCCTCCGGCCGCACGGTTTCTCGTACAGCACTACACCTTCCCAAGTCCGCCCTGTGCCTTGACGCGAGGCTGGCTATGGCTGGACTGCTCCTGATCGTGAGAGAATCCAGGCACGATTTAGAGATGGGGGGTTGGCAAAAGTTGTGTACCCCTTAGGGTATCAAAAAGTTTGGGGGCCTTACTAGAATGGAAACCCAAAAGGGTACGGCATTTCTGACAACCTACCAAACGGACGTCTTGCTGAAGGTTGACTTACTTGTTGTGAATCCTCAACCTCATATGCGACTATCTCATGAGCCCTACATTACGACCAGTAGAGAACCCAGCAATCCGTTGATGACCAACAAATACTTAATTCGTGGTGTCCATGTCCTTCCGTTGTTCCCTAGATAAGCTCTATGTAACCCCGTATAACCCCTCAAAACAAACCCCCAATAAACCCTATTAATCGCATAAATCCTTACAATCTCGAGGGATCCCAGGGTTTCAGAAGCCCCCGCACAGGTTGCTGCCAAACGCGCGAGCCACTGTACACTCCCAGAACTCTAGGATCTGATATGTGCAAGGCAGAGTGCTTGGGATTTCATGCACATCTGCGTGTGAGGGTTTCCATAATTTGGGCCCGGTTTGGGGGGGTGGGGGGGTACATCAATTGTGTTACGGCGTTTGTTTTAAGGGGGGCCGTTTTTTGAACACTCCATGTGGCACATCCACAACAAGTTGGATGACAGCTGAGGATGAGAACGCGGATCGCACAAGTTTCTGAGCAGCAGTTCAAGCTAGATGTCCATCATCTCTATTTAAACCCCAATATGTACCCTATTATAATGTAGTAGTTTCCATTTTCTTGTCCATTATCCCTAGCTTCACCTTGAGAGCTTGGCTTGCTTGAGGGTTCACTTGGGTAGTATTTTATTTGGGGATACTATGGTACCCAATATAGAGTAAGATTATATCCTCCTTTTGGGGTATAGTATTTTATATAAGGAATAGAATCTTACTGGGTTCAACCACC